ATGAATAACATGACCACAGTGAACCTGGGGGAAACAAACCAATTAACCCTTGAACCAATTAACCATGTATTCAGTCTAAAGCAAGGGTTGGCAAACTACAGCCCAAAGTCCCAATCTGGCCTGCCACCTATTTTTGTAAACAAAGTGCTTTAGAACACAGCCACCTGTTCACGTATTGTGTATGGTTACTTTCATTCTTCTATGGCAGATTTGAGTAGTTGAAACAGACTGTGTAGTCTGCAAAGCTTAAAGTATTTACTATTTGAGCCTTTACGGAAAAAGTTGACCAACTCTGTGTCTATTGACCAAAAAAAAAGGACATAAATCTTGAACTATCTTTTGTGTATTTCGTTTTTGTAGGAATGTGGGTCAACTATTCTGAAACCACTTTCTTTGAATTTGAAGATTAAGTAAATGAATAAATAATATTGATATTGGGAGCCAGGTTTCTCACTATTGGAGAAGGGAGATTCAAATATGGAATGGGGAAGGCTAGAAAGAACCTGAGTTTGGACTGTGATTGGAAGTATAAAAATAGACTCAGGTGTTTTAAATTATTTGGAGATACACAAACACCCAGACATATACATACACACACACACACCCCAGGTGAAATTTGTTAAGTTCTGTATAAATATAACACTATTGTGCCATTAAGGAGCCCTGATGGCGCAACAGTTAAGTGCTCAGCTGCTAATCAAAAGGTCAGCAGTTCAAACCCACCCAGCGGCTCTGCAGGAGAAAAGACTTGGTGATCTGCTCCCATAAAGATTACAGCCTAGGAAACCCTATGGCAGTTTTATTCAGTTTTGCTCAACTTGACAGCACTTAAGGACAACATTGTGCCATTAAGTGTTGTGATTCTGATAATTGTACTGTGGTTAATTTAAATACAGCTGTGTTTTAGAAATATAGTTGTTTAGAAATATTAAGGGGTAAAAGGTCATGATGTAAAACAAAGTTCCCCCATAGTGGTCTCGGTAAATCTAAACAATCTTTAGTGAAATAACACATTTACTTAGAATTAGAATTATAGTAGTTTAGGTGAGTTCCTTTAACAGGGGCGTTAACTGTAATGAACTTGGAGTTCTTATGTTTAACACAGAATAAACACAAAAGAGATTCCTTTTCCTACTGAAATATTTCTCAAGAGACATAGAGTATAACAGATTGTAGTCTAAATTACTTGGTGGGCTTATAGGTAAGCCAAAGAGCAGGCAGCAACAAATCACCGACAGTCAAAAGATCAAGACTGCAATTTTAGGTCACAAAACTCCAGAGTTACCACATGCTTTCACAGGAGATGACTGCCCAGAAATAGAAATGAACCATAGTTAGGCTACTCAGAGAACCTAAGTTAAATAAAGTAAACTCAGGAAGCACTCTGTGAGACCAACCAGAGCCTGATTGCTGCTGAGACACTCACCTGTGGCAAGACTGCCAAACCCCTAGATCTGAGCACGTTTGAGCGTCTCAGTCCATGTACAGTGTGACTCATTTGGCAGTCCAGCAGTCACAGTGCAAGCCACTGAAGTGCAAACAGATTGTTAAAAACTGAAACAAGGATCACAAAGTGTTAGTAAAAAAAAGCTGAATAAGTGTTTGTTTATGACTTACCAACCTGTAATTTAGATTTTTGCATACACAGTCACTATAACCCCTGTTGCATACTGTGAAATGAGCTCCTTTGTGTGGCCTTTTGCCTTGGTTCTTTGGAAAAACAGCTTGAAAGATTTTCCCCCTAAGCCCGGAGGAGTTACCTTTGCCCTAGTTTTCTACCCCATAGGGTTTGTTGCATTTCCTGGGTAAGCTGTAAAGAGCTTGGTTTTGATACTTTTTGTTTGGTCGGGGGCTGCAGCCTGCCCTGTGCTTGGTATGTACCTTACAGGGGTTGGTAAATAAACTATACAAATGAAGTGTCTGTGCTTACTGAGAGGGGATTGGTCAGTCTGTGGCCCTGGTGGGAGGGCCATGCCTTGAAATTGATGAGTAGTTTGTGTACATAAGCAGCCAACCCCACAAAAGTTTTTTCGGCCAAAAAGAAGCAGCAGGACATAAAAGGAAAAAAGAGAGAAGCAGCAGAGAGAGAGAGAAGGCAAGGAACCCCCTATAACAGCTGTAACACGGGTCAGGGG